ACAGGGCAGGAGGGTGTGGGAGCGTGGGTACTGAGAAGCAGCTATCACCCCACAATCACCCGATCTGCTGATGATTAGGACGTGCATTGCTCCATCCCACGCCATACCCATTACACAAGAGCCCTGCCTGGTGCCGGCTGCACCCATAGGTACCCAGGGGTCCTGGCCCTGCTGGTGGGAGCTTGCCCTCCTCCAGCAGCCTGACATGTGGCCTGTGGGGTCTCAGGTGGGTCCCCAAGCAGCTGGGTCCCCAAGAGCTCCCTGTCATGCAAGTCTTTCCCTGCCCAAGTTCAATGCCCTCTGTGGTCACAGAGTTGCCAGGCCACCTGCACCTATGTGCCAAGGACCACATTGAGATTTTGAGTCCTGCCCTCCTCTACAAACCTCCCACTCCTTGATTTACATGGAACCTAGAACCTCGAGCCCAGATCACAGCCATACCAAGCTGAGCACAACTTCCAGTGCCTGGGCTCCAAGGGGGCTAAGACCCTCTGTGCCTCTTGGGCATCTCACTCCTAGGCCAGATCTGCAGGCCCAGTCTCCCCTTCAGCTTGTCCTCAGCTGGCCCCTGCCAGGCTCCATGATACCAAACTGCTCTGCGAGGACCTAGCTGAGGCCCTTTCTGTGTCAGAGTGCCCTGTTGGGACGGTGGGTCTTCCATAAACATGGCAAAGTGGAACTTTGGGTTAGAGCTAGGGACACAGAAAGAGAAGGGGCTAGAAAGAGGAGGCTGGGACATGAGGGGAGGTTGTGGTCAAAATGGCATTGAAGTCAGCGATGATGGTGAGGTCAGGACAGAGCAGGTGAGGTCGGGATGGAGGTTCGTTGTAGTGATGCCAGGGTGAGCTTGGGGTGACTGTTGGGCACAGGTATCCACATGGTGGCATGGGGCCCTGCTGGAGCAGGGCACCTTGGTGCAGGGAATGTGATGCACCGAGGCATTGCCCTTGTCCTGAGGCTGAGCATGTCGGGGCTTCCCCAGAGCTTCTGACCCTCCACAGGTTTGTTCCTTCCATATCCAGCCAAGAGCGTAACTGATCGGCTTGGCTCACAATGGGAGCTTAGGAACAGTGTCAGTGTGGCCAGGTTGTGGTGCCCTGGCCTGTGGTGCCCCATAGTGAGGTGGAGGGTTCCTACAGGGACGCAATCCTAGGGAGTAGTGACACCCTTACCCCTCCTTGGTCACCCCATCCTGCTCCAGGTGGGGGCCCAGCCAAGGGAGCTGCATTTGGAGCCTGGCTGTGGGAGCGAGAGGGGCAGGCGAAGTGGCAGCCCACACACTGTGGATGCCTCCTCTGGGAGCAGGTAGCCTCCATGACCCTTGCACTGTGACAAGCCACGTGGTGCTGGCCACAGGTGCCTTTGCTCTTGGGGGCTCGGTGGAGCTCCTCAGGCCGGAGCCTGCTCCCCTGTGGCCCCCGGATGGCGCAAGAGCCAGGCAGGGCTGGCCACCTGCTGGCTGGACAGTGGCTGAGTTTTGTGGTGTCTCTGGGTGTGAGGTGTGGGCCGAGCCTGGCCAAGTACCCCAGCCCTGGGCTGGGCTTCCAGCGGCCTTTATCTGGGGCCCCAGCTGTGGCCACGGGAAGTGGCCGTTTCTGCTGTGCTGTGTCCCGTGGGGCCGTGATAACGTGGGGCAGCGTGGGGGGTTGAGCAACACGGGGTGGGGGGAAGCCAGGATCATGTGACCTGGGATCTGTGGCCTAGGTGGGGCGGGATAAGGGGGTTCAGGCTGCCTCCTGCTGGCCAGCACACTGGTGGCCTCTGTCAAATTTGGGGGATGCATCTAGAGCCTCTTCCCAATCTGCCCCCACACTGCAGTGTCCTCATGCACACACACTTGGCCCACAGTCTTCCCAAGCCTTTCTCAGCTCCTGTCTACCTAGTGGGCCCCTTCTCTGCTCCCCCATATCTGCCCAGTAGCACCCATCCAGGGGTCCCCCAATCCACAGCCTGCCCCTTTCCATGGTGCTCATCCCATGGGAGAATCCCCGGGTCTCTGGAATCCCAAGCTGCCCCCTCCCATGTGGGCCCCCTTGGGCCTAGCATTTTGGTGCCCCCAACAAGCCTGCTGGCTGCTGGGCCAATTAATGGCTCACTCTGTTATCAGCTTTGACTAATTGCTCTTCCTAATCAGGCAGGGGTGTGAGGCTCCTGTAGGCACAGCAGAGGACAGAGCTGTGACTTCGTGGAGGGGGATCCACTGCTACACCCTTGCCTGCTCTTCCCTCCCCCAGGCCCCTCTGCGCCCCGCATGCCTACTCTTCGAGGCCTTTTCCAGGCGACCCCTAGCGGGAAGCCCCCACCCCACCCCAGTGGGCAGCAGAGCACAGATGAGGCTGAATGCAGAGTGGGTACAGAGGGGAGGGGCTGGCAGTGAGGCTGGCACGTGGGAATGCAGGCCTCACAAGGACTCCGCAGGGACATAGGACAGGGACCTGGACCGCCATGGGCACCAGGGCGAGCTTACCTAGCCAGATGCTCCAGGCACTGGCGTGCTCCTCTCGCATGGAGTGATGACCCCATCTCCTGTCCCCCAGGTCTTGGAGAAGATGCCCCAATCGGAGTGCCACTCCTTGCACAGGACTATCCTATGGTGACACCCAGAACGTGGGCACCTGCCCTGCTGAGGATACAGACTTGGGGACATCTGCACAGGGAAGCACACAGACAACAGAAGCTGCCCCTTTCCCTGCCCAGCTGGCCACAGGGCTCCGTCATGTTATCTGTGGAAACTATATTAATCCCGAAGGCCGTTCCCATCAGTCTCGATTCCAGTGACATTTCCAGATAAGCCTTATCTCCCTACAGAGCATTAGCCCCAGGCTGGTCCTCGCCTGCCAATCACAGTAGCCCCAGCCCACTCCATGACTCCATTTGGGGTAGACAGGGGAGGGGTGGGGGGGGCTGCCTGCATCCCAAGCAGTGTCACGAGGATGTCCCAAGGTGCTGGGTCAAGGGGTGGCTCCTGGGATCTTGGGTTCCAATCCCATTCCTACCTGAGGTATTGAGGCGCAGCCCCCAAGGTCCTACCTGAGGGTGGACGGACACATCCTGGTGAGTCCGTGTGGATGGTGGCTGCCAGGGAGCATGGATCAAGTGTCACCTGAGGTGTGGGAGCTGGGAGGGGACACATGTGGCCATATGGTGATCCCAGCTGAAACGGGCTGCCATTCACACTATCCCTCTGCTGTGACCCACCTGTGAAAGCTATGCACCCTGCCTGAGCCCATAGTGGGTGCTCCAGTTACTGCTAATGCAAGTGTGATAGAGGCCTCTCCTGGGACAGACCCTGTGCACTCCCAGGCACAGTGAGAGGCCGGTCTTGCTGTCTACTCGCAGGCCTAGGGCCTTGGTGGGGGTCACACAGGCCGTCCTTGTACACTTCTCCATGTGCTTCTCTAGAGCCTGCCCTGCTCCTGGAGCTTCAGGTGAGAGTGGGGTAGAGTGGCGTCATCTCACAGAAGCCGGAGAGGCTGCCCTGCCCCTCACGGGCTGAGTCCTCCCGTTGCAGAGGGGCAGTGGCCGCTGGCCTGCTCCAAGCTGCAGGGAATAGCCTGGCCAGCTCTGTGCCTGGCCTAGGTAAGTCCCTGCCCTAGAACCCTGTGGAGCAGCTGCTGCCCTCTTCTCCATTTCACAGCAGGAACGCTGAGGCACAGGTCTCAGGGACTTGCCCAGGGTCACACATTTCATGTAGTACAGGACTTACAGCCAGACCCAGGTGACTTGGTCCCAGTTTGTTGGGGCCCCGAGAAGGGATGGCAGGGAAGGGCTGGCCTCGAGGCTCTAGGTCAGGGAGAAGGCGCCCTGCTCAGCTCCTTGCTGGGAGCCCAGGTGCTGGGCTCAGCCTAGTTCATCTCACTGGAGGAAGCAGGTCTCCGTCTGTCCCCACCAGACTGCTGTCCCTTGGAGTGGCCCAGCAGCTGACAGGTGCGAGCAGAGGGGCCTCGTGGGACAGGCTGACTTAGCCCCTCATGGCACTGAAGCAGCACTGCCTTTCCAGGAGGCTGACCCACTGGGCCAGGTGGGGCTGAGTCAGAGGGGCACGGAGCCTGGCATACAGCCTGTGTACTTGTGTGGTGGTAGGGGAGTCCCAGGCGGAGACCCAGCTGGGCCCATTTGAGGGGGCCAACCATGCTGGTACTGGCTGGCTGCAGCAGCAGCAGGCACAGTGGTGGTGTGCACAGGACACACCCTGCTCCTCTGGGCTCACTCCAGCTGGCAGAAGTGGGGCATGTCAGGCCCCTAGTGGGCAGGGAGAGGAGCCTGGTACCTGTGGCCTGGCCACCCCGTCTCCTAGTGCCTAGCTGCTACCTGGGTCCTGGCCAAGGCTCACGCCAGGTGGCTGTGCTGGCTGCTCCTGCTGGCCTCCCTGCAGCACGAGGGGCTTCGGTATACTTAATTAGGCGCTGCTTGCCTGGCTGCTCGGCCACTGTGCATGGGGACACCATGTTCCATGCTCCTTTTTGCTTTGCCTTCAGCTCTGGGGCTTAAGAGCACCAAGTCATTTGATCACAACCTGCCCTAGTTAATATTTTTAATACCATTTTTGCAAATTAAAACATAATGCACCGATTACTGGGATAAAAGGGAGGCCTCCATGTCTGTCTGGAGGCCAAATAAAGGAACGTGCGAGCATCTGTTCGCCCCACAGTGTCCTGAAAGCTTTGATTTCCCTCAGCCAAGTTGTTCTATCTCATCACTTCTCTGAAATTGCTAAGAAGTGGGTACTGGGCAGGCTGTAGAGGACACAAGCAGGACACATTCAGAGACATGTGGTGCCTCAACTCAAGGGCAAGGGCCTAGGGACCTCTAGGGACAGAATGGAGACGCCCCCAAGCCTGCTGCTCCCCCCAAAGTAGCTCAGGCTACAAGAACACCCCTAGTCAGCGCCCTCATAGCCCGCCCCCCCCCCCCACCAAGGCCCAGGAGACACCATAGCCCCTGGGCTCCTTGAAGCAGACCCGGGTCCTGGGACACAGACACACAGAGATCAGCAGAAGGCTGGTGCCATGTGACATTTATTTTCAGCCACCAAGGGCCATTCACTTGGGCAGAGCTGAGGCTGGCCACTGGGCTCTCTGGCTAGGCCCTTTCCCAGCCGGTCTTGGCTGTGATGCCTGGAGGGCCCTCTTGGCACTGTCCCTACCACCCTGGGTTTGTCACTATGGCTGAGCAGGAAGTCCGAGTGGCAGTGGAGTAGATACCCTACTGTTGCAGGACTGTGTGGAGTCACTGAGGGGAGGCTGAGGCACATCTAGCTGGGTACCAGGCACTGCAGCCCAAGCAGGTCATGGGGTCCCTCAAGGGGACTGCACCATGCGCTTGTGGGTGTCAAAGACATAGCGCTTGAACGACAGGCTGAGCCCCACGTGCTGAGCGGGTTCGGGGCGCTCAGTGCCCTCCTCCTGCTTGGCCACTTCCCCATGGCCTGCCCGGCCCCGCTTCTTGACAGCCGTCATCAGGATCTTCTTGGACTCAGGACTGAGGCCACCTGCAAGGGACAGAGGAGACCCTATCATTCTGCCACACACCCACCTGCCTCCTTCATGGGCATCTTACTGGCCCAGTTCTGCCTCCCACCCTGCCTCAGGAACACCCCAGCCTTCTGGCCAGAGCCAGGAGGAGCCCAGTGTCTCTTTAGACAGGAGGTCCAACTGGAGGCCTGGACCACACACTGCCACCTCAATCCTGCACCTGGCTCCTCCTCCAGATCCTGATCACCCAGCTTGTGGCACCACGTGACTCCCACCGCCTGTGCCACACTGGGCCTGCTCCCTCAGACCCAGCATCCAAGGCTGAGAGACCTCTTATGGAGATGCCCTCTCCACCTTTCTGCATGCTGGGAAGGAGGTCCACTCCAGGCTGAACATGGTCAGAGTCCATGCCCTCTGGTTTCAGGCTGGGTTAGCAAGTCAGAGAGTGGGAGGAAAGGGCAGCAAGCATTTACCCCAGTTCCCCGGGCTCTGGTGGGTGCTGGCCCCTCCCACCTCATGTCTGCATCCTGTGGATGTCCTGCCTTGTGCCCACTTCATGCTTCTGTCCTGGCTGTTCCTAGCTAGGCTCCTGAGAGCCTCTCACACATGTCTGGGGCTTGATTTTATTGAAGGTCCATATTCATGGTGTACACCATGATGTATGAATAGCCATACACACTGTAGTGATCAGATCAAGGTAATTAACAGTCCTGCCATTTTACACACTTATTTTCTAGGTGAGAATGTTTAAAACCTACTGTTTGTAACCTTATGTCTGTTTCATACTTTGTCATTCACAATAGCCACCATGATGCTCACAGCCCGCCTGATCTTAATCCCCTTGTCTAGCAGAATCTTTGTCCCCTGTGGCCAACACCTTCCATGTGCCCACCCACCCCAGGCTCTGGACACTTTCCTGTCCCCTCTGCTTTGTGGGCTGGCATGACATGGCATCTGTCCTGTTCCTGGGCTGCTCCCTCAGACACAGCATCCAAGGCTGAGAGACCTCTAATTGTCCCTGGAGATGCTCTGCTCTGTGCGCTATCCGCAGGGGCATCTCTGAGGCTGCAGGATAGGGTGCTGTGTGCCTCATGCCAGCCCCACAGCCTGCCGAGTGAGCAGGCCAGGCACCATGCAATGGTACAAGTCTGGAACACCCATGGGAGTGGTGGTGAACACTCCAGGGATGGGCTTCTGATGAGGATTTGGAATGGGGGGTCTATAGCTGCAGCCATTTAGAAAAGTGGCAAGGAGCCAGCAGGCGGGAATGAAGGGCTGGTTTCTCTCCAGCAGGAGAAGCAAGGTTGTTGGTCCCTTCAGACCCTAGCTCCCTGGAAGTCTGGACAGGCGACTGTTGTTAACTATGGCAGGTATCTGCGCCTGTGAATCAGAGCCCTGGCCCTCCTTCTGCAAACAGAGAAGGTAGCTGGCACCAGACCCTGACCAATGGCATGGGTGGCCCGTCTTCCCCTGGTGCCAGGAGGTCTGAAGGCCAAGAAGACACGGGGCTCCCCGGTGTCTGCAGCGACTGGGGAGACAGGCAGGTTCCAATCTTGGCCCATCTTGCCCTGACCATGCTGGGCAAGTTGCACAATGTGGCTTGAACACTGAGTAGAGCAAGCCAGAAAATCTATCTGGTTCTGGCGAGGATGGGGCCAGTGAATTGCCCCACTGTGCCACTCAGTTCCTCTGCTCCATGCAGCATGGCCAGGAAGCAGCTTCTGCAGGCCCCACCAGCAGGGGACTGGCCACCATGGTTGGAGTTTGTTGAAGTGTCATCAGGAGCTGCTTTGCTTCCTGGGTAACTTTTTCCCTCAGTCAGGTAGCAAGTGGAGGGAAGTGCCCAGCAGGGAGTCTCCAAGCTGCCTGGACCTCTCCCCTGGGGACCTTCTGGGTGCACTGCAGGAGGGGACACATGGTGTGGAACCCTGCCTGGCCTGGCTCCCATGGCATTTACCAGTCTGAGAAAGGCAGACAGTAAACAGCCGGTGAGATGGTCAGATAGTGTACTGGGCTCGGGACTGGCCCCACTTGTCCCAGGTAGGGCGGTGGCTTTGAAGGAAGAATGCTCAACCCAAGGTCAGATGACAGTGATTGCTGTGGTGATTGAGGTAAAGGGTACCCAAGTGCCAGGCCAGCGAGGCGCCTGTGTGCCAGGCTCTATCATAGCAGGTGCCTCGAGCTGAGTGCCTATACATCTGGTGCCCCCTCTGCCACCCCCTCTTCAGTCCTCATGGGTCCCCTTGCATTAAGGAATGGTGGCATTTCCTGTCCCCACAAGCTTCCTGCAAGAGTTACCCCAGAAGTCCCCATAGCTCATGCTTGTAACATCTCAAAATCATCTTGCAGAGGCCTCTCATACACCTTGTAGTTGTACCTCAATGCTCTGAAGGCCCTGACCCCAAACTATTTGTCCCTACAGTCCTGGCACTTTCTACCACACACTGCCATTGCCCCATTTTAATGTTTGTCATCCATCCCTGCTGCAATAAGACATCCTCACACATAGAGATCTCTCTGGTCACTTGCTGCTGACTCCATCACCAGAACAACCCATGGCTTGCCGGTCCTCAGAGGGCACTCTCAGTTGGGCTACAGGGAACCCAGAAAAAGGTGTCTCAGAAGAGCCTGTGCAACAGTCTCATGAAGGCCCCAATAGGAACTGAGAAACCTCTGCTGGGAATAAGCCTGATACACGGAGAAGCCCCACAGTACCCACAGCATGGAGGCTCTCAGTTATACAGCCAGAGTTCAGAGCCAGTGCAGAGGAGCTCAGAGCTCACTGGGCCATATGGCTGTGTGGGGGTAGCACTGGGTGAGCACTGGGTGACAGAGGTGGCTGGATCCCAATCCCTGCACCAACGACAGGTTTGTGGAATCACAGAGGGGCTCCACGACCAAGGGGAAACAAGATGAAACCAGATCCACTTGCTGTTAAGAGATGACATCTAAGAAGCATGAGAGCAGCACAAAGGAAGATGTATGTTGGGAATCCAAAAATGTAGCCATCGGGCTCCGTAAGAGCGCCTGCAGCTCTAGATACAGACAGAGGACTGGGAGGCTGTGTCTGGCTGCTGGGCTCAGGAGAGGGCTGCAAGCTCTATTTCCTCTTCCATTTTCCCAGACTCCTGCTGTGATCCAGTTACCATAGGAGCCGTTTCTGGAGAGGCCCTACAGCATGGCCCTGGTGCTTGCTCCATTGCCTTTCTGGGCCCCAGGCTAGAGCTGGCTGGGCCCATGGCACTGGGGGAGCAGGAGAGAAGGGGTCAAGCAGCAGAGGATCCAGCTTGGTCCCTATGGTCCAGCCAGGGTCTCAGAGCCACCACTGGACTTGAAGCATCTCTAGGTCAGTGGCCCTGAATCCACCATTCTATGGTCTGCCTGGGAGGACAGGGCTGACAGTGTAGGGCTGCAGGGTGCCAGAAGTCAATGGCTCTGGCTCTACAGCCATGTGTATTGTGAGAAGACACATGGCACGGACCCACGAACTGCTCACTCCTGCAGAGCACCCACCATCATGGGTGCCTCTGAGGCCACACTGGGCCCTGGCCTTCCTCCCAGTTCCCCAGCCATGCTGAACCCATAAACCTGGTCCACAGTGCTTTCCCAGCCTTTCTATCTTTGAATTCCAACCCCAGCACCTTGGAAGGGCTCCTTGTAGGCCCAGGCTACCACGGGCCTGTGGGTACCCAACTCACTGTGTTGGGGCAGGGAATACACGTGCTCCTGTCCCCCATGTGTGCAGAGAACCAGAGGTGCAGGGCAGCAGGGCAAAGGCCCGGAAGCACCTGTCCCACTTGAATGACCCTGGGACACCAGATGGCCTGAGTGGGACCCAGTCCCCATCTTAGGATCCTTGGAGTCCAGACCCCAGGATGCAAGGGATAGATGGTTGTGACTTTGGGACAACACTCTAGCCTGGCTTCCCTGAGGACACTATCTCAGGACCAGGAGGGCCCTTTCTCAGCAGCAGGCCAGCAGCCCCACACAAAGGCACAATGGGCCAAAGGCGGCCTGCACCCTGGCTCAGGCTGGGTAATCAGGGAAGAATGTGCGAGGCCAGCGCTGTGCAGCATTTCCCAAGCTCGACTGTGGTGCCACTGTGACATGTCCATCAAAGGCCTGCAAATTGCCTCCGGTCGCTGGCATGTCACTTTCATGTTGGGGCCAGGCTGGGAGAGGGGCCTTCTCACTGGGGGCGGCTGGCACTCCCAGTGGGAATGAACCCTGGCAGGCAGTTTGGGGTCACTGGCCCCTTGGTGGCCCCCTGGGGCTGGGGTCACTGCAGTCATTCAGCACTTCCTCTGCAGTCACAGCAACTTTGGAGGGGCTGCAGTATCAGGGTAGGAAAGAGGGGCGTGCAGGGCTGGGGCACTTTGGGAAGCCATAGTAGCAGGGGGATGGTGGCTCAGCAAGGACAGACCCAGTCCTCACCTCATGAGGGATGAGCCAGGAGGATAGGAGAGCAGGTGGCAGACAGGAGCCTGGCAAGCATGGCCCTCTGTGCCACGCAGGCAAGGGTTTGGGTGCCCATCTCAGGCATTGCCGTCTGCGTCCGTCTGCATCCGTGGCTCTTGCTTCTCCCTCCTTCCCTTCCCTGCTATGGATGGCGTATGTAAACAAAGATGCAATTTGCTTTAAAAAGATAAAGTGATTAAGTTTTTATCAGACCTGTCCTGCAACAAAAGGAATTAGGGGAAGGCTGCGTGGCGGCCTGCGGAGCGTGTTCTGGCTGAGGCTCTCGAGCGCACACTTGATGGTGCCTGAGCCTCTGTGATTGGGCAGGAGCTGAGGCAATGGGCGCTGCACCCCCATTTTGATGTCTTAATGTTGCCTAATTCCTCCTTTAATTTATATTAAGCTTCTTAGCCGCAATGATGAATTCTTCAAAAACAAAAAAGGGCCCTTTGCAGAAATTTTCCCCATGCCATGTAAATTGAAATTATAACACAGTCAAGGCTTTGGAGATTGGGGTATGCAGGGAGGAGACTGGTGCATTATGTGGAAGGAGTTTTTT